TAAGTGGATGTATTCGAATTAAATGCTATTTTAAATTGATGGTACTGTCGTAAAAGAAAAGTATTTTTTTGCATATATTACAAGTGGCAAACTTATTGTTATCTTAATTTTTTTTTAAATAATTCCAAAAAGCAGAACCCGGTCGCATGATACACCACTGAACAAACACAAACACCGAAACTACTGCTTAATTACAAAAACCTTATAATGCAAAGAATCATGCAGAAAATCTACTAAAATCGAAGTTCTCTATGAGTAAAATCTAGCAAAGAATACAGTTATCTGTAATTATAAGTAATAGTATAGTGTAATATACAGGTTTCTTTAATTTATATTTTGGTTTTTTGAAATTGCACTTTAAAGTTTAAACAGTTGAATTTTTTGTTAATTATGTGTATTATAGAAAATTTTAATAAATTTTCTTTTTTAATAATAAAACAAACAAAATAGTTAACAAAACATAACGACAAATTCTTTGGTAAACATTCTCAAATCCAAACGAAAACTTTTATTGGTAAATTTAAAGACATGAATTTAAAAAAATAATCATATCCAAATGTTTTAAAGAAAGCCGATTTCTCCTTAAATTTGTAAGTTGCCCTGTTTTGGAAAAAACTCTTTCCGAGGGGCAGTAGTGGAATTTGCAGATATTGCTAAATAATAATTGTGGTGATTGTCAATGGTGTTGAATACGTTTTTAGTCATAAAACGCCCAAAATCGTTAGTTTCATTATTGGCAATTATTTCGGTTTTTGTCTCGTTGCCAACGGCCTTTTCTGCATGCTCCAACTCTCTGTTTTTCCGAGATATATTTTATTTCATTTCGTCCATTAACCATATTTGCATTGTCTTGGTTTACAAAAGCCAACTTTTTAAACCTGGAATTCAAAATTGTGGCTTTTGCTGCTATTTTATTTGTTTCGAAGTTTCCAAAACGCCGTTGAATTACTTCTACGTTGAATTACTTCTAATAATTTATTTTTTAAAACTTCATCAACAGTTGTTCTCCAGACAAAATATTGGCAGGTTTCAAGACGTCCAAACAGTCTCTTAAAATATTCCACTCTTCTGGTCTCAGAAATTCTACACTGGTAGTTAGATTAGCGACTTTTATACTTAAAGAATCTTTTAATTATAATTAATTATTAGCCGGTCCAGCATATTATAGCAAGAATTCCAGCGCGTTGGTATATCCTGCTTTACTTTTAAAGTAAAACTGTTCCTGTACTGCTTTAAGTTTATTTGTTGCTAATACACTATGCTTAAAGTGTTCAACAAGGGCCCTACATTTTTTTTAAAGCGCACTTACGGTTTCATCGCAGCCCAACACTTCATTTACTGATAAATTTAATGTGTGAGCAACACACGGATGGTGGTATTTTCTAAAATGTTCGTTTATAGAGTTTTTAATATTAGCGCCGTTGTCTGACACAATTGTTACTATTTTGTCTGTAATTTTCCATTCATTAAATGTTGATTTTAAAACTTATAGCAATATTTTCCCCTGTATTAGAAACAATCAATTCATTTGTTGAAATAACTCAGCAACATAATTTGGTGTCATTTATAAAATGTACAGTCACTGTAATGTAACTTTTATTGCTATCTGACGTCCACATGTATGTTGTTACTGCAATACTGTTAATTTGGTTTAAAATATTTTTAATGATTCCACCGCCTCTGCATATTGTTTAGGCAAAAGTTCCTGTGATATTTTTTTTTCTGTTTGGTACCTTGTATAGCGGTTGAAGTGCTTTAGTATATTCAAGAAAGCCTTTTTTTCAGTAGCGACAAGGGCTAAATCTTGTTGCGATAGTGCGCTTCTGGACCCAAAAAGTTTCAGCTGTTTTGCAGGACGTTTAAAATGTTTAGCCTTTACGTTACTACTTCCTGAAGGTATACCGATATATCGCTGTCGAAGGAAATAAGGTTATTGTACCAGTACTAGTACCAGGTAGGTTAGGTGTAGCAGCATTATAACGAATTTTATCCTTTTCGTTCAGAGGATCATCATTAATTTTTATAAGTGGATGTATCCGAATTAAATGCTGTTTTAAATTGATGGTACTGTCGTAAAAGGAAAGTATTTTTTTGCATATATTACAAGTGGCAAACTTATTGTTATCTTAATTTTTTTTAAATAATTCCAAAAAGCAGAACCCGGTCGCATGATACACCACTGAACAAACACAAACACCGAAACTACTGCTTAATTACAAAACCTTATAATGCAAAGAATCATGCAGAAAATCTACTAAAATCGGAGTTCTCTATGAGTAAAATCTAGCAAAGAATACAGTTATCTGTAATTATAAGTAATAGTATAGTGTAATATACAGGTTTCTTTAATTTATATTTTAGTTTTTTGAAATTGCACTTTAAAGTTTAAACAGTTGAATTTTTTGTTAATTATGTGTTGGTTTACAATCATTATTTAAAAGTAAATTGGCGATATCCATCGCTCGTCTCTTGTTTCATTAACGAGTCGCGAATCACGCGACACCGAAACGTAAGTAAAAATCGCTCGAAGTGATGCAAGCTGCAAGCGATCTACCCGAGTATTCATGAATGCATTCAATAATTAAATTAAAATTTTGAGTGATAAATTGCTCAAGCAATCGCTCGATTATTCAAAATTAAAAATTATCCGTTTTCACAACACTAAATAAGTTAACTATCTACCTAGATCACTTAACACTGTAAACAATGATTTGACACCGAAAAAGTTTAGAAAATACACAGAAAACAACACACTGGCTCGTAGACACTTGTTTACTTACCGAGTGACATAGCAATATGGTGTCGGCGCAATATCATATCTTTTCTTGGTTGTATCATGGTTATAGCTACCAAACAAAGCTAAAATTGTTATATATGTTTACATGTTAATTCAATTAAAAATAAATACTTATATACCTATAGATCAAATCATTATTGCAAAAAAGTTACATACAAAACAATTCTTACACCGGTTTTGCTTCTTTTTTGACGAACTGCAGAATGCACAGCGTTTAGCACTGGGTTTTTGCTTTTTTAGTTTTTCTTTAAAAAGTACATGTAAGCTATAGCTTGCAGCATCTACCAGATAATACAATCTCTGTCCTGTTTTATTTGTTCGTAAAACGTTTTTTCTTTGAAATAGTGTCTATTACTTGCAAAAGTTACACATTTCGTCCGACTATTTTTCCATTTATACACCGACAAATCACCAGCAGCAACTGATTCTGATTCATTCTAAGAATAATCTTTATCATTGTTTAACAAGTGTTTCGTAAAATGCTTTCTATTTGGCCTTAATGTAACGCGAGCAAATATACCTCGGTCTAAAAGTTTTTGCATAAGTGGAATTGTGGTAAAAAAAATTTACAAAATATAAGTAGTAGTAGTAACATATTTTCACCTATTGATTTCGTTTTTCCCTGAAAAATTTGAAAATTAAGTATATATCCTGTTCTAGAACATGCCAGTGCCCATATTTTAAATCCCCTTTTAATGGGTTTCATGGGTATATGATGATCTAATAATGGTCTTAGTTTATACTATCTATCAAAATTGGTGGTCTTCGGTTAAAGCATGCTCTCATTGTCGTTAAGGTGCAGGTATCTAAGGATTTTTAAAAAATATTTTATACTAAACACTTTTGCAACACGTTTAACGTAAAAGATTATATTTGTAGACCAATATTATCTTATTGTAAAGACTCTAAAAGCCCATCAATATTAGTACACCTAGGAACTCGTTCTTTTGTACGCAATCCCAAATTATTGTTCGTTGATATGCATACAGATTTGATTCATTAACTTTTGTTTGATATATTATGTTATTGAAATAAAGCTTGGCTTTAATTATCGGTTTAAAGTTATTTCTTCAAGCTCACTTTTAACTTCTTCACATTCTTTTATTAACAGATCAACACTAATGCAGTCTTTTTTATGACGTACACCATCTTGAATGTTAATAAGAAGTTTTAATATTGTTTATGTATTTTCTGGTTAAAAGGTCAGACCGAGAAAGTGACCTGTTAACTTGAAAATCACAAAATAAAATTATGGCAAGGTTTTCGAGATAATGTTTTATTTTATTTAGAAATCACCTTTACCATTTGAGTCATATCTCGAGTTAGGATTTTATTTTGGTTGCAAAAGGTGTCAAATTAAAAATATTCGAATCACCGACAAATATCACTTTCAATTATTTAATTAGGTTAAGTGTAATAGGGTCAAATATTGGAAAGTCTTTTTTTAAACAAAAATTAAAATGCAACATATTTTTTTTGTCAAGTATGAATAAGTCATCTAAGTTATCCATGGATAATTTTAAAAGTTATGATCGAAAATATATATAGCAAAATTTAATTTTTAACTGGAAAACCCTGCAATAAAAAAATGTCACCTACCTTACCTAATCTATTACAGTTAAAATAAATAATCTCTTCATCTTTCTGGTTACGATGAGTATATTCCAAATTATTCTTTTTAGAAAGCCTTTTTAACCAATCGTAAAATTCTAAAATTAAGAATAAGTTTACTTTATATTAAATAAATAAATATTTAAGTCAAGACTTGTTCATACCTCATATAGTTTGAAAAAACATTTCTTTGTTCATGGTCTTGTTATGGACTGTTTCCAGGTAGTATCTTAAATCTCTAGCAAAACTATAAGAAGTTTGGCAATCTTAAACTTAAACTTTCAAACACTTGTTATTAAAACAGTTAATATCATAGGACAAAATATTCCTTTATTTCTGTTTGCGTACATTTATTAAGTGCTTGTTAACACTGCTCTTCTGGGAGAATATATTAAAACAAATTTTGCAAGCTACCGGCATTTCCAAAAGAAAACTTTAAAAAACCAATCAGACCAGAGTCTTTGAATCAGACCGAGACACACAATTATTGAGGTTAGGTTAATATTTAAAGATACATTAGGCAACGTTGCGCTACGGGAATTAGTATTTAGCCGCTCCTATTTCTTTTCCTTTACGTTACGAAATTGAGCGCTCATTTTTTTTTGCACATGCCCAATGCACTCTTTTTTATACCATCAGCCCTTCGTACATTGTAAGTTTTAGAATCGTCGTCTCCAATGTAATTCGCGTATTTTACCTCGTGCAGAGTTTTGGATCGTTGAAACACTTCGATTATGGCATCGACCTCTATTTTTTCAGCAGATTTTCTTTCCACTCTTTGTACACGGCAGTATTTTTTCGTCCAGTCCAAGCTTGACACAATTTGCAGTATGCGGTTTTTACGACAACGACGACAATCTGTTCAGTATTGTATACAATCAAGGAAGAAACCCCGTATAACAAAGTACCATCACCAGATACTGTTAAATGTGTTTAATTCTGCCCAGTGCTTACTTGAATTTCTTCACGCACACCACGTTTCGTGAAATAATGTGTTTCAAAATAATGTCATAAGATGTCTGCTCTTAAAACGGTGGCATACCCATGAGGCTACATTCTTTTGCGCAGCCGGCTCTTCCTTGGATTATAGTCCAAACAATCTCAACCAGCGTCTAGAGGTTTTAGAAGCCTTGATTCCGAATATTACCGAACCGGCAAACCAATATAGTTATGGCGCAAATTAAATACGTATTGATTTAAAGTGTTAATTGAATAAATTAATATATTTGGGTTACAAGACTTAGTGCAGTATCGTTTCACGACTTCATAAATAACCTTTAGTACATAGGTAGTATATTATATCATAAAAGATTTTTAGTAATAGCAATAAATTCAATTTGCGGTATTATTTTTTGGTTATGAAGAATCTTTACTATGGCTGCCAGGGTTGGTGGGAGGGAATTTACAGCTTTTTCTATTGCTTCTACTTTCTGAACTGAAGTAACCGAAGACATAGTTGTTTGTAATTTTGTTTGTAATTGCAGCTTGTAGCCTCTCTTGATATGTACTTTAGGTTTTCTTTTTTTTTAAGTTGAGTGATAATTGCACTGGATTCATCATGTGCTTCATTGTAGTCCATATGTTAATCCGTCAATAAAGATATTTAAATTTATTTAAATGTAATTTATCTAAAGATAGATTATGAACCTCTACAGAAATAATATATCAAAAATTGGTAATACATAGTTGTAAATAAAATCGATGGCTTAAGTGCAAATCTTCGTAACCCACCAATTTAATAATTAAGGACAAAAGTTATGAATAAAGGATTTTTTTCTAAATTATTATTTTTGTGGCTTGGTCTAATAGGGTGTTTCATTTTGTAGGTTAAAAAATAAAATGTAAAATTTGTGCAGACTTTGCTCGCGCCCCGAGTCTCCGTGATGTAAAATATATGTACGCCAAATTTCAAGAAGATTGGATAATATTTAGAGGTGGCACACTTTGAACAGTTTTTTAAAGGTAGTCAAAAATACGATTTTTCAATGTTAAATACTTTTATTGGGAAAACTAGAAATCACAAAAATAAAATAATATTAAAACTAAAAACTAATATTAATAAGTAGTGTGTTAGGCAAAACATGTGTCCCTTCTTTTGTTCGCTTAGTGACGACTTGTCTGTGATGCTCGACTACCCTCAATAGGAATTGTTTTTGTTCCTCGTTCCTGACAGATTCGTTAAATTTTTTTATCAGAGCAATTCCTCTTTCTGCGGTATCATTGACCACCTTAAGAGCATTCACATGGCTTCTTAGAGAATCAGTGTAGTATTCTGTCACGTCGTTGATCCCAAACATTTCAAAGAATGTTTTTGTTTTATTAGTAACAAAATGGCTCAGGTCTTTTCCTTCAAAAACTAGGTTTTTACCCTCTAATCGTTTCATTTCCTTTTTCTTTGCAGGTTTGGTTTCTAAATATTTAGTCATATTTTCCTTAACAGCATGAGTAATACGTTCGTCAAAAAAAGCTAATCCTACGTTTGTTTCCGACAGATACCAAAGGTGTCTCCTAGCAACTGTGAGAGCACTTTTTCTGACGTTTGCGTCTGGGTAAGTACTCAGAAGCTGTAGCATATCCAAATCATTTTTTGGAGCCCATCGACTAACAATTGCCTCGTGCCAAAAGCGAACATATATGAGGCTGACAAAATGTGCAACCTGTTTCATTCCGTTCAATTCTCGTTGGGGAATATTCAACTGTGTAGTGAAGAGAACAATTTTAAGTGCATATATTGCCTTTGCCATCCACCTTGCTTGATGCAGAGCCCCTGGGACCCTGAAACTGAAGTCGTGTTTGGACCAACCCCCTAGGTACAGAAGTGAGAGTTGTAATAACTCTTTGTAGTCTTCTCTTGGATGACTTCCGTCTTTTAGGACATTTTGTATGTAGTTAACCATTTTCACTCGTTGTTCCTCTAGAAAGCCTTGAACGGGACTTTCTTCATCCAGCATTGTCGTATATGACTTCTTATCAAGTGAAGCCCACAAAGTTTTAAACTTTTGAAAAATTTGGATTTCCGGACCACTTGATGGTACGCTACAACACTCCTCAAACACTCCTTTTATTATTAGTTCATGGGTATGATGACGGCAAGCCAACCACAACAATGTTCGTCCGAATTCCCTTTCAATTCTGGTACATGCCCCTTGGATCAGTCCTGTATTAGATGCTGTAGTATCAAAAGATATACCGATGATATTGTCACGTAGCCCAAATCGGTCCACTTCCCGAATAACTACTTCAGCCATCTGCTCACCAGTGCCTTTCATGGCAACAGGTACGCCAAGCAAATGCTCAAAATCTTTGCCACTCACTAGAACTGCAACTCTATCTTCCAAAGTTTTGACACTTCTATGGGCAACTGAGGGCAACAGTTTACTATCCCAATGCAAGACCAAATAAGGGGGATTTTCAAAGAGTGACTCTTCGATTTTCTTTGCCATTTTTCTTCTATTGATTGCCCGAGCTCGATAAACGGTAGATGGAGAGACGGAAATTTTTGAAACATCGTGGCCAAGGCTCTTTGCAGTTGCTATAAATGAAGTACTTGCTTGTCTAATAGAGAGCTGTTCTCGATCCCAAGTGGACGTAAGTGTCTGATCAAGAGGTTTTAATCTAGGAATTGAACGTAACTCGGCCTCTTCGTTACTTGGTGCTGATGATGATGAAGATAAGTCTTTCATTATTACTGTTTTATTAATTTCAGTGATAGCTTTGTAATGTTTATTCTTATATGATTCTTTTTTTTCTTCTTTTCTACACTTAGTACTTAATTTCGAGGCGAAAACCTTGTCTACTCCACCCATTGACGAACTCATGTGATCTTCTCTTTGTGACCTAAGAAATTCTTTATCTTCTTGTGATACGCTAGACATTTCCATCACATTTTAATAATATTTATTCAACGGTAAATAACCAATACATTATAAATATATATATACAATTCACATAATATAAACAAAGCAAAACTTAAAACTAGTATACATAAAATTAAAAGTAAATATCACAGATTCTGAATCGACAACTTAAATCTTTTTAAACTACTACAAAAAAGTCAATATCCAATTCATTCGCAAGTCTGCTTGCTCTATCAATTGGTGAGTTAAATCCATAATTGGTGGTATGTGAGCTTACATAGAATAAATAACAGTGTCTTACTTGTCTTTGAGGAACATGAATTTTTCCGGGAAATGTCAAATTACTCGACGAGGTCACCTTTCCAAATCTGCCTTCTCACATTTGCTTTATCCGTGTTTCTTGATTTCTCTTTACCCATATTTCTGTATTCTTTGTACAGTTTCTGTATACCAGCTCGGATATTCTCCTCCGTCTTAACAGGAATATTTGCTTTCCTCCACACTTCCTGTAGTTTAGTACTGGTAGATTTAGCAGCACCCGAAAGTGTTTCTTTCATTTCCTTGTGATGGTAAATAAAAACTAAAAGTACTGGTTCCTTTGAAGGGAGCCGCGCTCCTAAAAACTCATCACTAGGCAACTTTTCTAGCAGCCAAATTCCTCTTTTGGTTCCCATTTTAAAGTTTAATTTCGGTTCTATAACTGAGGTTGTCAATTGTTGTAAGGGAATTTAAACCAATTTAGGTATACCTATTTATAAATGCAGAGATTAATATGGATTAATGTAATTACAATAACAATTATTATTTTACCTTACAAATAAAATGAAATGTTGTATTTTACCTTACAAATTTAATGATCTTAAATTAAATAACCTTGCAAATAAAATAAAACTGGTTCAAACAAATTCCTTTCCAACAAAATTCCGGATACCTAAATTTCACTAGGATGAGATAAAAGTGGTCAATGTGTGCCACCCCTAAATATTATCCAATCTTCTTAAAATTTGCCATATATATCTTTTTCATCACTGAGACTCGGGGCGTAAGCAAAGTCGTATGAAAATCACATCTTTGGAAAAATGAAACACCCTATGGTCTAATATAAAAAATCTCATTATTAAGAAAGTTGCATTGATCCTTTAAGCATTTACAGATCCTGATGTATTATTAGATTTACAGATATATATTTATTAGTTAAATTAAGAAAATGCCTAACTCGAAACAGAAAAATAATGACATTGGCTCTTTATTAATAAATTTTGCACTAAAGCCATGTTCTCAGTTTTTATAAAGGTACCAATTTTAAAAATGTTTTATCCAGATGAAATGTCTAAAGTAAAAACTTCGAAAAATCAGTGTAATAAATAAAAATTGTACTTTCTCCATAAAACACCAAAACCTACCAACACCATCTTAATTAATTTCACTTACTATATATTTTTTATTTATGGTGAGGTAATGTTAAATTAAACTAAAAAAAATTAACTAAAGAAGAAATTTAAAACAAACAAATTTCCTAATAATACTATTCAGTTATATACAGTGCTTGCAAATCCAAGTCCGACCAGGTTTGGAAGGAGGGTTGTTCAATACCCGCGTGAAAAGAAGAAGGATAGAACGCCAAACAGAATTTGATTGGTCAGAGCCAGCAGGCGTGCGTATTGTAAGCGCCTTCTGTTCTTTTCACGCGGGTATTGAACAACCGTCCTTTCCAACCCGGTCGGACGCACTGTATACATTAGGGTGTGTCATTTTTAGGCGATATTTTTTTTTCGCTGTTATACCAGAAAATCTAATACTTTATAGAAAATAAAAAATTATGCCGCCGGGTAAAAGGTTCTAAGTGCAATAGCGGCTTAGCTCATTTAAAAATTCAATTTCCCATTGAAATAACACAGAAAAATTTTTTTCTTCGTTTTAATTAGATTTTTCGCTGTTAAAAACTTTTTTCCCTAAAAACTTTTTTATAGCTTTTGTAGGAAATTAAATTCTCTACAAAATCATCCCTTTGCTCGAAGACCGTATAACCAGTAGTTTCAGAGTTATAGCGCTGGAAATATAAACTTTTATAAAAATAGACCTCAAATTCCATTTTATTTTTAAGGGATGATTTTGTAGAGAATTTAATTTCCTACAAAAGCTATAAAAAAGTTTTTAGGGAAAAAAGTTTTTAACAGCGAAAAATCTAATTAAAACGAACAAAAAAATTCTTCTGTGTTATTTCAATGGGAAATTGAATTTTTAAATGAGCCAAACCGCTATTGCACTTAGAACCTTTTACCCGGCGGCATAATTTTTTATTTTCTATAAAGTATTATATTTTCTGGTATAACAGCGAAAAAAAAATATCGCCTAAAAATGACACACCCTAGTATACATACCATTACCAAGAGTTTCATTTTGGTTTTTAAATTCAGTAAGGTGGTGATTATGCTTGGACCTAAATTAAATTTAATTGCTGAATCATGGCAAGAACAATAGTATCTATGCAGACAAATTTTACATTCTTGGCATCTACGTTGACATTTATTAGACTCATTGCCTTCTTTTATGACATAGATTTTATTATCATGGGTTGAGGGTACTTCCCACCCATGCTCTGTTGGCCAAATCTATTAAACCCATTTTATTATGACGGTCACGAATGCTGTTTAATTTGGCAGACATTTTTCCCTTGTTAATGACTATAAGTCATCAGGGTTGATATTCCCTAATCTAAACTCCTTACTTTTTTCCCTGCCAAGTATATATATTTTATTGTTTTATGTATTCTCTCTAAATGCATGTTGGTATTTATGCCTGAATCCCATCTGTAACAATAAGCCCAGTATTTACAATTTTCTTGGTGTCTTTCTTGCAATAATGTCATAACCTCTTTATATGTTAAAGCCTAGAAAACAAAATTATTATAATAGATAATGATATATAATTAATTTATTACTTTTTTCCTGACTATTAATTTTGGAAAGGTTCTTTTGCCACGCACGATCGAGATGCCAGGTACAAAAAAGTCTAAAATTAAAAAAAAGAAATACATATGTAGGTACATGTATGCATGCATACATTTATCATAAAATTTCAAATAAACAAATGCAAATATAAAATAAATACCTGTTTTCAGGAACACCCATTACATGAAGCCAAGCATTAAAATATATTTCACTTAAGACAGTCATAAATGTTTTTGGTGTTATTATGCCAATTTGTTTTGATATTTGGGACAAAAATAAACTGATCACAACTGTGTCACTTCTATTTGTTAAAAGAAAGGCACAAGGGAAGGCTTCTCTTAGGTAATCAATAACCAACAGTGTATGCAACTCAAAATCATAGTAGTTCAACCCATGAGTTCCATCTAGACATCTTCGTCTGGTTGGAACTTGCAAGAACATGAAGCCTACAAACGAGAAAATCGGTAAGTTTTATCAAAGAACACAATGTAAATAAAAATAAATTTTCAAGTGGCTTCTGCGATACGTAATTTGTATGTTGAAGACCACTTAGTCTTAAACGTTTTCTTTCTTTCTTAACCCTTTCAGTTCCCTTTTTTCTTTTTTTTTTACCGTGGTATTTTAAAGCACAACTTTCACGTGTTCACTTATCTTGACTAATACGATTATAACCTTAAAAATACCATTAATTGTCTTGTTCAACATAGCCATCTTCGTCAAGTTCGTCACTTTTTGAATTGTTCTCAGCCTCTGTCGTGGTCACAATAATGTCCTAAAATAAATATGATATAAATGTCATTCACTGTAAATTATTTATAAATAATATACTTCTGGCGATTATGGTTCTTCTACCTCCATAGGCCTCCGAGCATTTTTACATCTTCAGAAGCAGGATAGAGTTTTAGCAGTCGTTCCTTCTCCATGGGTCCATGGGTCCATGCCCTGAAAAGAAGGTATAACTTTGTATTTTGTAAAAAACCCACAAATACCTATAAATATCTATATATACCAAATATCTATAAATACTTATAATTTATAAGTTATAAAATACCTATAAATAATACACAATTAATTTTATAAAAAGAAGTTCCGTTTTTAGGACGAGAAAAAACATTTTAACGATAAAACTATAGTTATAGAAGTTATATAGTCATACAAAATAATATAATTGTCCAAAAACTTATACCTACTAGCTTTGTTACATCAAAATTTTACTCCACCTCACAACAATCAAATTTTTACTTCAACAACATTTGGTCACAAAAACGGCCGAATTTTAACTACATTCTGCAACCAAAAATACTCTCTTGGGACACTTATGTCAGAGGTTCCTATGGATCTCATTATCAATACGCCTGCATATGCAGGCTTGACATAAATCATAAATTATATAATATATATAATATATAAGAGAATCAACGTCATCCTACTTTTGCACACTACCAAAGGTATCTAAATTACGGATGCACCGGGTACCCGGCCAAATAACGAAGAAACCGGGTAACCCGGTTTCACCGGTTACTAGTCAGTACCCGGCCAAGTAGACTGGGTGCATTGACAAAAAAATAATAGAATTTTAGAAGAAATTTTAAAAGTTTTATTTTTTATTTATAAATTTAAATTCAAAAACAACATTGGGCCCATTGATGTAACTTAACAGGTCCGTTAAAACAGTAATTTTTGCTTAATCTGTTAGTGGTGGTAACACGGTTTGGAAGAAAGTTTTGAGTCAGGGTCGTATCTCTGTTATACCTCCACAGAATGAGATATAAGGCCTTTCATAAAGAAATATTATTATTATTTAATATTTTTTATTTTCTTTACTTTATTTTATCGTTTATTTTTATTTATTTTGCAGAATATAAATAGTATTATTTTTATGTTGGCAACAATGTCCCGTGTTGACATAAGATGTCACATAACCTAAAATAATAAATCATTATAAATAAAAATATTTATAATAATTAAGCACAAGTTGTATTTATGTAACAAAAATCAGGTAATACCACGCATTTTACAATTATGTACATAATTTTTTTACGCATTTTTTTTTAATTTTAGCCTTCAAGTAACTTGAGTCAAGTTGGGCCATCAAAACACAAGTTTATTATGGTTTCTTATTTCTGGTTCTTTATATTATGTGGGGTTCCGAGAGCAATAAGTGTCTTAAAAGTGTGAAATTGTAAATAATTCTGTTGTGTTGAAAAAAAAGGAAAAAACCACCCAAACAAATCGAAATGCTTGATTACAAATAAAACGAATTACTCAACGTGCCTTTTTATGTTGGTGTATACCTAATTGAATTAATATAGGCAAGTATTCAAAATTATATTAGAACCTTCATATGTTAAAGTAAGAGGGAAAATTAAATAGTTTGAGTTATAGCTTTTTTACTTTAATGGTTTTTAAAGGTTCATTTTTTTATATGCTTTGGGGATTTGAGTTAGACCCTCCAACTAAGAGGGGCTAGCTTAAATTCAAATGTTACTCATAAAAGTTACATGAATACTTTATTTTAGGCCTCGTAAAGAAAGACGCTTTAAATTATGAAGGTTGCCAAGACACTATATTGAGTTGCAGCAATCGTTAAATTTTTAAAGGTTTCATATTTTAAATAAATAATAAGGTTTCAAGCTCTGAGGGGAAGTGTTATCAAGGTATAAGTTTTAAAAAATTAGTATTAATTTGGTATTAGTTTGGTATTTCATAAGAATATGGATAAAAAGCAAAAGTATTGAGCAAT